AAAAAAATCTGGAGGATGGGAAAGATTTCTTATCTAGAGCTCAAAAAAGATTTAACACTATTTATTGAGAGTTTGTATGTTATAATTTAATCTAGGAATAAGAGAAACCTTTTAGGGCATGGACAAACATTCAAGTAGTGTCAAAAAGGGAAGGGAGAGCTGCTGCAGCAGCAGCTGCTCTAACATATGCACAAGTGATGCAAGTGAGTTAAATCACTCCAACTTTAACCCTGGATGAATTAGGTTTAAAGTTGGAATGATTTTGCTATCTTTGTATCTCTGTAGGCACCTGTGCACCTAATTGTTACAGGGTAATAGATGCAGCAGTTTCCCCTTCCATTTTGAAGCCACTCCAAGTTAACCTTTGTCCTTAGCCATACACTTTCTCCTTTTAGAACAAGAAAGTGTGTGTGTGTGTGTGTGTGTGTGTGTGTGTGTGGGTGGAGAGGGCAGGAATCCTTTGCAGACCCAGACAGTGAAATCACTAGGGGTGGGAAATGGTAATAGAGTATATAATCCTGGAAGATGTAAGAGTGATTATGAGAAATGTCAGGTATGCTCTCAAAAGTGGGAAAATGCAGTTGTGTCCTGCTGTTGCCAAAACAGCTTTTTCTAGTGTGATGCTTTAGCATCCCTTTCTTTGAAGCCCTCCATTGGCTTCCCTTTCTCTGTTGCATAAACTTTTACTTTTGAGATTTTTTTTCCAGGATCTTAGTTATGGGCATAAACAAGAAAATGAATCTTAATAGATTATAACTATATTAACATATATAACAGATCTGTTGAAAGTCTGACACTTTTGCTCAACAAGCTTGTTCTAAAAAAGAAACCCTGTTTTTTCCCCCTGTAATTTAAAAAAATCTATATTCAGAGTGGAATCTGAGCAACTTTTCATTATTGTAATGTCATTGGTGTTGAAATTGATATTGCAATATCAAAGTATACCTATTCAGAATAATATTATTTTGTTTCTAAATAAAAACTAGGGTTAATGATTGTCCACCTGGATTTTATTCTAAGCAGGTGACCTCTTAAAGCATTGGTGAACAGGTTTAGAATCATATAAAGAATAAATTAATAATTGACTAATAATATATGTCAAATATTATCAAATTAAATTTCTTTTAGGATTTTCTGCTTTTAGAAGTGAAACAGATTTCTTAGTACTTTAAAAATGTCAAATTCTTGTGGTTCTCTCTGTGAGATTGATAAAACACAGATGAAGGAGTGAAGCCTAATGACTTGACCTCCATTTCTTTAAGTCTTTGAGAGAGCTAGGGATAAAATTCTTATCTTCCTAGTGTTGTAAGCATAAGAACATCTTTCGTTATTTTGATGGTAGTTTCCACTTATGTATGGGTAAATTGTTGGGACATTTATTTGTCAAATGAAGAAAAGGAGAGACTGTTGTCCTTCAGGTATTGTGAATGTTATTGAATGTTAATGAATTAATATTCTTTTTCAGAAATGCAAAATGTCATTCACATATTTAAAGACCAAGTGGGATTTGTTGTTATTGTTACCTACATAATATCAGCCATAGAATTTCATTTGCTTTGGAAATAAACTTTTACAATATGTTATTTGGAACACTTGGTCTTATTTTTTTGAAGTTGACACAGCAAAGTACTATTTTTTTAAATATCTGCTTAAAATTCTCACTTGAAATTCTTATTTTAGCTAAATGTTTACTAAAACTGATTGGTTGGCATTCTGTCATTTTCCTTGTAGGATGTTGTTATGGAAGAGTACAATGAAAAGAACTTTTATGAGTCTGATGAAGAACAGAAAGAAAAGGATCAGAAAGTGAAGAAACTGTACGCTATGGATCCAGACCACAGGCTGCTTTTACGGAATACAAAGCCTTTGCTACAAAGCCGTAATGCTGCTGTATGACAAACACTTCTTTAACGGTGTATCTTGAATTCCATCTCTGTACCTCGAGGAAGTTTTAATCAAAATCTTGAAGGATTCAAGACTAGAATATGTACCTAAAAATAGATAAGAAATACTTGTAGAAGTGTTGTTACCTGTGTTCATAAAGCACAGTCGTCCTGTTGCGTTTTAGACCTCTGGTAGATATGGCACTTCAGACATGCTTAACCTATTAAATGCATCTTAAGTAATAACTCAGCCACACATTCAGACAATTAGTAGTACCATAAAACACAAAATCAGCCACAAAATTATTCCACAAAATAGGTGTAGGAATTTTGTGACATGTTTCCATCATGCCTTAAACTGGTTTTGTGGCAGGGTCCCCCACCATGTAGCCTGATGCTGGCTGCATAGTAGGGCTTGGTTGACAACTGTCCCATCCCTGGAACCACACCAGAGTCTTGAACTGGCTCTGGTGCAGTCCTTAGGCTGAGACCCACAATCAGCTGATTTTGAAGGCATAAAAACACTAGGACTGTGTGAAGCTTTGGTCGCTTTCAATTCAGAGGAGATTCGGCCCAATTCAGTGGCTGAATCTCTGAATCTGAATTAAATCAGAAGCCTCCGATTTGATTTGGAGAGATTTGATGACTTGGCCATAGACACAGCTTTATATGTTTTTTGTACATAGCTTACGGTACCAGGTGCGACTTGTGAGTACTGAGATGGTGGGGTGGATGGAGCATCCCATGGGAGCATGGGGGGGGTCCCCCCTGCACTTGGCAGCAGACTCAGAAGTGGACCAGAAGTACTTCCAGTCCACTTCCTGGTCTACCGCAGAGTGTACGGGAGGACACCCCTCCCCACAGCCTCCCAGCTCGGCAACTGGTGCCTCCTGAGTCTGGAGGGGTGCCGGGGGTCCCCCTGTGGCCAATTGCCAAGCCAGGGGGTGCAGGGTGTGCAGGGGGTTCCCCACATGCTCGGCGGTGGACCCTGCATTCCTGTGGGCCGCTCCATCCACCCCACCATCTCAGCATTCATGAGCCCTGCCTGGTACCTCAAGGTACGTAGAAAAATCATATAAAGCTGTGCCTGTGGCCAAACTGCTGATTCTGTGAATCAGAATCAAATCTTCAGATTCAGCTGAATCAAATCGGGATAGTGGTCCAAATCAGCGAATTGAATCACTTGTCCCCTGAATTGGGCTGAATCTGAATTGAATACTGCCTGCTTCGCACACCCCTAAAAAACACTTGCATAATGCACTTTGGGATGTCTTGGATGAGGTCATCTTACTTTTACAGATCTTTAATATCAGAAGATCCCAGTATCATCAGCTGGTTTGGCCTCTGCTTAATTTATAGGCCAGTAATTGGCAACCTTTTAGAATGGTGGGCTGGCTTCCCGCAAACTGGCTGCCACAGCAAGCCTTGCTCCTTTTCATTAGGGGAGGAGGATAGGGAAAAAGGAAGAGAGCTTACCTCTGGAAACATCACCTACTATGCAAGGATGGGGGAAGGAGAAAGTAAGCAGCATTTGCCTTGGGGGGGGGGGAAGTGAGAGAGCAGAGAGGGATACAGAGGGGATCAGCAGCATGGCTCAGGGTAGAGAAGATAATGCACCAGGGCCCAGATTTCTGCTTCTCCAGTCCATGGGCTTTAGGCTACCAGCCCTTGATAAACCATAGAACTTCATTCAGTATTTCATGTTTTAAATCTGCAACTACTGGTTATATTAAAGCTGACCTTTTTTTGGACCCCTGGCAGACATTACGTTTATTGTGCTATTCTAACATGTTTATTGAGCAATAAATCATAGCACACCACATGTTCAGCTAATGTATCATGTACTAAAAATGCAAAACAGCCAAAAAGATGTTCCATGTTTAACATTGGAACATCTTTGTGACTGGTTTTTATCACTCTAACTGAAATGTGTGGCATGCTAAAGGGAACTGAGCTTTGGGAGCTGCTCCCTAGTACTGGGTTGTCTGCAAACCCATTTAAATTTCCCAGCTCATGGGGAGTCCAGCACCAGGGTGCTAGATTTCCTGGGCACCAGCAAATTGAAAGCTGTGCCAGGTATTATGGATGGGACCCTGGTGTGGTTCTGAATGTCCTTGCATGATGTGCTGAATGTCCTTGCATGCAAGTTTAAAGCTGTGCTGGGCAGCCCAGTTTCTGGGTCCCTTGTGCTGGGCAACCTGACTTAGTTTTAAAGGTCCTAGTGTCCAGTGGAAAGTGAAGAATTTTCTCTCAGATCAACAGAATTGTGTATCTTGCCATGCCAGCCAGTTCTTGAATGTCTGGGAAGGCAGGATGCACAGTTTTTGGGATCTGAGATAAAACTTCTCAGATTCCATCACAGATTTAAATTAACGTCTGCCAGGGGTCTTAGAAAGACAGCTGGTCTTTAAATGAAGACTTCATGTGATGATAAACAATCCATCGCATCCCTACATTAAACTGCTTTGATAGCTGATTACCCTTGCTTTAAAAATTTTGCACCTTACTTCCAGTCTGAATTTGTTTGGCTTCAATTTATATCCATTGGATCTTGCTATACCTTAATCTAACTTGGAGTCCTTTGCTGTCAGAAGTCATCTCCCTGTGTGGATACTTATAGAACATAAGCAAGCTGCCCAGCCTGTTCTTTGGCAAACTAAATAGAGAGAGCTTTTTCAGTTTTTCTTGCAGGTCTTATTTTCCAGACCTGATATAATTTATAATTTTTTTAACCAAATTTCTATTTTGTCAACCCCTCCTTTGCTTGTGCATGCTATGCCTAAGCACTGCATTTCAGTAATGATCTCATGAATACCACTTAGTACCTTTAGTAAAACCATAATCTTGTTTCTACTTAATGTTCCCCTGTTTGTTCACACAAGGATTATGTTAGGTCCCTCAGCTGTGACATTGCTCTGGGATCTCATGTTTGGTTTGTTGCCCTGATGACTCCCTCCATTTGTTTTCCCTATTAGTCTCCCTATCTAGTGTGACCTTTTGTTGTTTAGTGATTTCTTTTTCTATCTAAAAACTACTCTGTTCAAGTACATTCAGCCTACCAGGTGCTTCACACAGCTGTGGCTAATAACTTTACCGTTATTTGTCATTCTTATACTTCTTGTAATTTGCATATTTTACAAGCAATGGCAAAATGCACCAGCACTTCTTTCAGAGCATTGGTTAAGGTGGCCTTGTGTCAAATAAAGTCCCTGTGGAATTGTAGTACAAGTGTTTCCATTATTTGAAGGCTCTTTATTTTCAGATACATTGATATTTATCAGTTAGGCAGTCTTCAGTCCATTTAATATAGACTGCATGCATTTTGTATATTCCTAATTTTTTAATCAGTATATGAAGTATTGGCTAAAATACCTTTTAAAAGTCTTTAAAATGCTACATCAACTTAATTATTAGATATTAATTAAACAAACTTTTAATTACAGTACAAATTCAAAGTTTGATGATTAACAGGTCTTATAAAACATTCATGATTGTTGGTGTTACTGTCATCTTTTCATCCCTTATTCATTACATTCTCCATCAGGCTTTCCACAACTTTTTATCCTGAATATATATTAGGCTGATAGGTCTGTAACTAACAAAAGTAATCCCATCACCCTTTAAAAACATTGGCAGGACAGGAGTTCCTCTCTTGCACACCCTTTCCCAGGAAGATATGAAAATACTTGAAAATAAGATCCAGTTATGTTTTGTAAGATCTCTTGCAAGCACTGTTTTACCTTTCTGTTACTTGGAACACTAGCATATAACTGTACAGTTTGCTTTTTCTGTTTTTGAGTCCTCATAAGTCAAAAGTGCAAATACTCTTCTATAAATTGATCAATATAATAATGGGCAGAGGTTTTAAGTGATGATACTAGTATTTGAAACAAAAGAATAGGTATTACTGAAGTGTCTCTTAAAATAGAAGGTGCAGACTGGATGTGGATTAAGAGCTACTGTCTTCTCATTAATTTATAGTTAATGCAGTACATGTTGGTTTATTAAAGATACCAGTTTGGTGCTTTATTCATAACTGATTTCCCCTCCTTCCCCCTGCAACTTCTCCTGAGCTGGTAAGAATGCTAGATACTCATTAGTTCTGCATTATTAAAACAAAACAAAAACATCCCTCAGGTTTCTCAAACATGTCCTATTGGTTTCAAAAGTGTATCTTTATTTCTGCAAGGGAGTGAGTTGAATTTTGCAGCTTGAAAGTAGAACATGGTAAATATTGTACAGTTAGCAATTTGCTTTGCATGTTAACATGTTGTTTTTCAGGTGGTGATGGCAGTTGCACAGCTGTATTGGCACCTGGCACCAAAATCTGAGGCTGGCATAGTTTCCAAATCATTAGTGCGTTTGCTTCGTAGTAATAGGTGAGTTAAACTGTCAACTGAATTCATTAAACACTTTCTTGCAACATAACCTCATGATACAGTAATGATTAGTACTGGATCTAAACCTGAGCTTACTTAAGTCTGCCAGAACAATCCCAAATTTATGGACTAATGTAAATCACGGAATCTTTTTGCAAGATTCTTCATTTACAGAACCACTAGCCATATATACTTCACTCTTAGTCACTGGAGAATGAAAAGGGCTAATTGATTGGTGTACACATTGAGAACAGTACAAAAATAGTTTCCTTTGATAGGGCTTATATGTAACTGTTATAAATTAAAATATTTGTAGTTCTTTTAGTATCTTGTAAAATGTTAAATAAATCTCTTGATACCACCCTACCAGCGTAAAGTGGTGGTTTGCAGCCACTTGACAGATAAAGAAACCAATTCTTTCCTTAACAAATCTACATCTCGAACCCACATTTCCAGTCTCCAGATATTTGCTTGGGAACGCATAGGAACATTCTTCAAAGTGTTTTCTTTAGTTTGTATTTGTGTCGTTGTGTTGTATTGCATTGTTGTATTTAGGGGTGCACCGATAGAGATGTTTTGGACCAATACTGATGGCCAATTTTTAATGAGCCATATTGGCAGATACAGAGCCGATTGCCGATAGGCAGGTAAATATGTTGTGGGGGAAGGGGTGAGGAGGGAGGGAAGGGATGTGGCGGGACAGTTATAAGCCCCCGCAGTGAGGCAGGCAGCTGAGCTGGATTGTGGGAAAGAGCTGCTAGCGACTCATCCAGGGGGCACAGGGAGGGGGATGCTCCTGCCTCTGCATGCACCCTGGGAGGGCATGTGAGGCGTGCACCCCTGATCAGCATGCAGGGTGAGGATGGGCTGCTGCTGCGGGCTGGGGCCAGATTGCGCTTGGGGCGGGTGGTGGTGGTGCTGGGAGGGGGACTATGGGGGGGGCTGCAACCACCCCAAAATTCACTATAGCCCCCCAAAAACTGCTCTCTCTCCCAGTGCTGCTGCTGCCTGCCCTGAGCGCAGCCCAGCCCAGCCCCCCCCCACTGGGAAGAGCCCAGTGCCCACCCCAGTCCCAGCCTGCAGCAGCAGCCTGCCCTCGCCCCGTGTGCAGATCCAGGGTTACATGGCCCCCGTGCCCTCCTGCAGTGTTTGCAGCAGCGGGAGCCGCCACCCCCTCCCCATGCCCCCTGGATGAGCCACTTGCAGCTCTGTCCCATGCCCCACCCCGGCTGCACAGTGCTGCCCCTGCCTCAACCCTAGCCCCACTCCCTTACCGCGGGAGCCTTGATCTGCACGCCCCTTCCCTCACTACAGACTTACCAGTCAAACCTGGCTGCTCTCCCTGCTGTGGGGCTGTGCTTCTGGCCGCCTGCCTGCTGTGCTGTGTCTGTACACATGCACAGGGCATTTATCAGGAACATTATGAGCCCCATCAGCCAAAAAAAAGCCAGTATTGTCAATTTTCCTTGTATCGGTGCCAATCCAATATGAGACCGATGTATCGCTGCACCTCTAATTGTATTGCATTGTATTGTATTTGTTGTGTTGTTTAATACATGTCACATCATGTCATTGCTTATTTTACAAGTTTTAATTTTCCAATTATACAGATATTTAGCACACGTATGTGTTTGGGCAAATAGATCAAAATCCATGTAAGCACCATAGGAACTGCCATGACAGCAAAACATGTTCAAAAATAGCTTTTAAGCTCATATGATATTGTTCTAGGCAAAACAGGCATTTACTAAATCAGTTGCTCATTAAAATAGATAACATCAAATAATTAAGAAGCAAAGGAATTGCTTGTAGTTGTGCCTAAGAGAAATAATTTGTCTGGCTCTGTCTCAGATATAGCTAGTCTCAGGTACTGGTTGAGTGCTAAATCTCAATAAAACTGCATTTGCTGTAAATCCTTGAGGTCATTTATGACACTTGTAAATAATATCCCATCTTTTAAACAGTGTTAGAAAAATTTGGGTTTATTGGTATGGGTTACTTTTTAATTGGAAGAAAAATGAATGGTTGTCTTTTTAGTGTGCTTTGAGTTACAGTACAGTATACTGGTAGTTCCTGTTCTCTGACCACAAACAGATATAAACAGCAAAAGAGCACATTTTAACTCGCAGAGCTCCAGCTGATGTAAAAGACCTAAGGTCAATTTTCCAAACCAAAATGCTTTTCGTTGTATATTGCTGAGCTATAATAATTTATAGTTTCATCTAGTAGACTTTTTTTTTTTTTGATCACTGTAATTGTTATCCTTAGATGGCCCTTATTCATTTACGTTTGCATGTTGAGTGCATTTTCTATCCATTAGTTATTCCAGTCAGTCTGAGGTGGTTTTGCTAGCCAATAGCCATTTTACTTCTAAAAGGAACTCCTGCTGTTTGATCTAGAAATTTTATAGGTATGATCTGGGAACCAATATCAAATGTTCTGCAGTCTGTCATGGATTGTGGGTGGTCTGTAGAACATTTGATAATGATTTAGGGATGTTAGGTGACATGTTGGTGACTCTCCCCCATGTTTCTTCCTACTAAATTTAAACAAAGATATTAAGCATTTCTTCTTGCTATGTGCCATAGGAATGTTTTGTAATTGTGAATGGGAGAGGAAGTACCAGCATACTTTGGAAATATACATGAATATCTTATTTTGAAAATGTATTAGCTGTCAAGGTTTGTGTATCCCAAACTTGAACCAAAAATCTAAGCTGAGACCAAATTTTATCTAACGCAGCCAAGTACTTACAGTGTAGAGAAAGTCTATGCATGCTTTTTTTTTAATATATACTTTTACCATTTTGAAATATATTGGATTTTCTTAACTTCGTGCTATTTTGCAATACTAGCTTACAGATCACCTAAATACTGACATTTTGAAAGCAAGTCCTAACTTTCTGCTCTGTTTAGTACAAAAAACCCCTGAATACTTTGTTTAATTTCTAGGGAGGTGCAGTATATTGTTCTGCAGAATATTGCAACTATGTCCATCCAAAGAAAGGTAAACTTTATTCAGCATTTTCTAAATTATACTTTTAAATATAAATGCAGCTGCTACTTAAATGTTTTGTTTGTTTTGTTTTTTTTTCAGGGCATGTTTGAACCTTACCTGAAGAGTTTCTATGTTAGGTCAACTGATCCAACGATGATCAAAACATTAAAGGTGTGGTTCAAAATACATACTTCATATATATATTATATGGCTAACATGGGATCAACACAGTCATTTGCTGCTATGAAATAAGTCATTCTCTATCATTTCCCTTATTACTAGGAAGTCCATTTATCTGAATTTCACAGGTGATAGTTGGTATAGCCAAACTGATGAGTTCTGTGTACATCAGGCTAATAGAGCATGCTGATTGGGAGACCTTCTGTAACACAGGAATGGGAATAACTTTCAGAAGAGGTTTCCATTCTGATATAAGTAGCCATTATCCTTTACTTTTTATCTCAAGATCTTGATGCTTTATTGTTCAGAAGGTATTGCTACACCTTTTAACCGGTTTGGTTACCAAAATTCTTGTGGGGGTTGAGAGAGGGCCTGCCCATTGCTTTCATTCAGAAGAGAAGTTGGTGAAATAGCCAGGTGTTTCTTTGATGCAGGCTCCTTCTCTAGTAGGTATTCTGCTCAAAGAGTGCACTCTAGGATTTTCTCAGGGTTGTTTTCCTACTGCATAGCTGTCAGATGCTTCATTGTCTTCTGTCTCAGCTTCTTCGGTCTTTGCTGCCTGTTGTGTATTAGGAAGCTTGGTGGTCTGCGAAAGCAGCAACTCTTCTTCCTCTCATTCCCAACATACTGTATGTATGTATGTAGCATGGGTGAGAGCTAAGGCCCTTTACTGGCAGAAGTATTAATTGGCGGCCCCACTCTGTTCCCCTCACCCTGGGTTTACCTGCCACATTTTGGTCTTAAGTGGTAGAATGGGGTGAATAGGAACATACCTGGTCTTTGAGGTAGTCCGTTGCGTGGGTTCAGGAGAGTTTTGCTGGATTTCTTAGTGGTACTCCTCCCCTATACCCCACCCACACCTCTCCCAAAGAGGTGTTCTGCAGCAGATATCAACAGCTTTTCCTTCCAAATTAGTCTCTCTGGCTCCATCTTTTCTACCGGTGTTGCTCTTTTAAGGAATGCCAGACCCTGTTCCCAAGCTTTGCCCCTTTAAGAGTAAGTAATCCAAACAAATAAACAGAACCATGGGCTTGCCCTGCCTGCTCAACAAATGTAGTAGTGCTTTCTGGAAGCCTGAGAGTCCTGCTGCTGTGCACCTTCTTTTCCCGTTCCTTCCTGAGCCTCACTTTGACTCTGGCTGCTCCCCTCTTGGTTCTCTGATTGCTGCCCAGATGTCTGGCTGGGTTGAGCCTGGCCTCATGTCCCTCAGGCCAAGCTGCTTACCACCTGCTGTCCACCATATCTCCTGTCCAGTCAGGGAGGGGGTTTCTGGCATGGTTCCACTTCCCTGGAACTTCTCCACTGCTTCCCTCCTCTGTGCTGCCTTCAGCAGCTTCAGATGTGCTGTGCATGGTCCTTCCAGCCAATCTGGGAGCTCTGCCTGTCCCCTGTGACTGCCTTGTGACTGTTGCATGCTGTGTTCCCCAGCTGTTCCCTATTCTTTGCCTAGGCCAGCTATCTTCCCAGTGTGCAGCCTGGGAGGCAGGCTGGGAAGGGCTTTTCTGAATGCTCTGTTGCCTGGTAGGTGTCCTGTTCCCAAGCCTCTGCTACAGTGTGCTTTGCATATGCTTCAGTTTTGGACAGTATCCTTTGCATCTTTCTGGTATGGTAGTTGCTATTTTTTTCAGCTATCTAAGAACTTTCCCTTTAAAACTCCATTACGTTTTAGTAGTAGGCTTTGGAGCCATATATCTTAGGAAGTTTGAGACTCAGTGGGTGCATCTACTTGAGACACTAACTGTGCAGTAGCTGCATAATACTTCACAGCAGTGTCACAACACCAACAGTGCTAATATGCTTCTATGCAGTATTATTAGACTACTGTGCAGTAGCATCACTTAAAAGACATTTGCTGGCGCTACTGTGCAGTAACTCTGGTTACTGCACATTTATTTAGTATTTGATTATATGAGTACAGTACTAAATAAAATGTGCAGTAACCACTGTGCAGTAGTGTCTTGTGTAGATGCTCTCAGGAAGTAAAGTAGCTTGACCAAAGTTTCTCAGCAATCATGAAAGTTGGAAATAGAAGCCAGGTTTAGTATTGCCCAGGCTTAATAATAATGACTTGAAAAAACAGTAAGATTTGAAAAATAAATAAATCCTTTACACAGTGCTAAAGTCAAAGAAGCAAGGGCAAAAAACTGAACTCTCCATTTTCATGCATGAGGTCTAAGTGATTTTCCCTTCCCTTCTTCCCCCCTGTCCCCCACTTCCCCTCCCTGGTGTGCTCAGTCACTGATTCATTGGTGTATTTCACTCTTTTTCAGAGGAAACTGCATTTAATATAGTGGCAGAAGGTACAATTTACAGTGTAACCAGAGGAGCTGGTTAGAGATTCTGGTAAAAGACATAATGCAAATTGGGAATGAGAGATTTTAGCTACTGTTCTTAACAAGCTTTGTCCAACTTTGTCATCAGCAGTAGTTTTGCTCTGGCAGGGAGAAGGGCATCTTACCTTTTTCCTCCCAATAACTCAGCACACTTCTGCCATGTGTTAAGTGGTTGAATGGTTGTGGAATTTGGGGAGGGGGGAGTTTCTAGAGAAGAAATTCTAATGCAAGTTTACCTCTTTCTTGAAATGTTTTAATTTTAAAACGCAGAGAAAAAGGTGCAAGTTTATGCACATTTCACTTTTTTCTAGCCCAAACTACTAAGCAAGCTGGGAAATATAATGCAAAGCACCCTGTTCAGGTTTGCTGATGACACTAAGAT